CAACCACCTAACTCCTAAGTGAGGCTTAGGCGGCTCTAAACGAGGATTTTTAGAACAATGATATGTGTGTGTATATATATGAAACCTTTAAGGGAAGGGATACTTTTTTTTTTTTTAATAGGGATTAGTTGTGAGGTCCATATTACATCGAATTTTAACGATCTGAACCGTCTATTTTTCAAATTGCATCTCACAGATCATCCTTGCAAAATATTAGTAAAACCAGAAATGTTTAAGACATCTAATTGGGTTAAAAGAAATTAACGAATATTTTGTTATATAAAAGACAATGAAATTCTATCTTGATATTTATATAGGCAAATGGTTTCGGATTGAATTGAATTTTCACAAGGATGATCTATGAATCGAGACTTACAACATAGATGGTTCAGATCGTTGAAGTTCGATATGAAGTGAGCCCCACAACCGATCCCTATTTAAAAAAAAATGAGAATCCCTTTGCCTAAAGGGCATATATATATATATATATAGAGAGAGAGAGAGAGAGAGAGAGAGATAGAGAGAGAGAGAGAGAGAGTAAATTGTAGCAATGGTCCCTTAATTTTAATCAAATTAAAGCAATGGTCCCTCAACTAAAATCCATTACCATTGATCTTTCAACTCATCAAAATGAGTTATGTTGAAATAACTATTTCTACAATTGGGGTCTCTCAACTCTTCAAAAGTGTAGCTATGATCATTTTCGTAAAACTTCGTCAGAATTTGGTCAAATGAGTTATGTTGGGATGAGCATTGCTACAATTAGGTTAAAGTTAAGGGATCATTGCTCGAATTGGGTTAAAGTTGAGGGACCATTTCTCTAGTTAGATTAAAATTGAGGGACCAATGGTAATAGATTTTTAGTTGAGAGACCATAGCTGTATATTTTGATAAGTTGAGGGAATAATGGTAATAGATTTTTAATTAAAGAATCATTGCTTCAATTAAGTTAAAATTAAATGATCATTGCTAAAAAGAGAAAAGAGAAGGCAAGGGGCATATTTTGGATCCATGTATGTCACCGACTTTTTATATAAAGATGAAAGAAAAAGCAAAATAATGGGCTTCTTCATCCTTTTTTGCCCTTGTTCCTTTAATGGCCTTGCCTGGCCTTTTTCACATGACTTTCTTCATGTGACCGATTACAATTAACCCCTCATGGGCTTCAAATGGCAGAGACGAGTGGAAGCACAACCATAAAGTTAAAACCTAAAGGAACTCAAATAATAATTAATATCAAATTTGCTTTTTATATAATTTGAAATTAAAACCTATCAATTACAAGTGAACAAGTGTGATCCCAATTTGTCTTTTACGAACCAAAATATTTATAGTAAATGAGATCGTTTTTATATGTATAAATTATTGCATAGCAAATAGAATCACAATATTGAATGCAGTCCAATATCATAGTGGATAGAGTGTTGGGTTTCTATTCATGCGTTTTGAGTTCGAAACTCCTCTCCTTTATAAACTATTGTAATAATTTTGAATCCTCACCTGTTTTTTAATAATAATTAAAATTAAAAAAAATGGAATCACAAAGTTGAATCATAATCTTAATGATATTTTGGATGATATTTTGTTTGAGTGATGTTTAGTTTAGTAGATCAAGCCGCATACAAACCAAAGGTGCGGTCCATAGGATATAATTCTAGCTCAATTCCCTACGTTCATTCTAATGAGAGAGATACTAAAGAGGGTACATCAGCCATTGCATAGGATCCTCACAACTGGGTCCCAGTAGGACTTGTGATCACAACGTGGCCTCATGCAGGCAAGTACGTGCCACGGCCCTACCAGACACTCTCAGTGTTTAATTGCGTATTTGAAACTTAACTTGATCCCAATTCCAGATGGGAAACGCATTAACGCCACCATGGTTAATAAAACAAGATTAATAATATTAAAAGAATGAGCACTCATTGAATCCAACTTGCTCACAAGTCAACTATTTCAACCATCGGTCTCACACTCACACATGCTTTCCCTGATCTTACATCTGACGGCTATCAACAAGACTAATTAAGGTAGAACACATACCATAGTCAAATGGCCCTTACATACTTGCTTATCGCCTCTTGCCGTACACCTACGATCGAAAGGTAGTATATTGACATGTCATACTTTTAGTATATTTCCACTGTCCATCCACTTATATTTTAATATATAGTAAACTGTCTTGTGTTGTGTTCCGATTACACTAAAAAATCTCCGTAAATAAGGCTTTAAAAACTAATTATTCTAAGTATAGGATAAGGTGCCTTGGAGTATCTCATACTCCGAATTTTTTAATTGTTTAATCTCGATTTTTGTATTTTAAACAAATATGTAACTGTTAAATCACATGAATTAAAATACGAGATACTCTGAAGCACCTTAGTACTATCTTAAAACACCCTAAACCATTCAATTTATTTTCTCAATTTGGTCCTTGCAAAGGAAACAAATGATTTAGATGCAATAAAATTTCCAAATGTGTATTGTTGAGGCAAATTTGTACATGTTGATTTGACAAAATTCCACCTACAAGAGAACAAATCTCATTAGCCTAATTAACGAACACCCTGAAAAATGGGGAGAGTGTCCACCAAAGGGCCTATGATGCCTAAGTCGGAAGTAGTAGAGAGAAAAATAGATTGTGAGCAAATTTTGAGTAATATGTGGTGATTATCGTTTTCTCTGTTTGACTTGGCTATTTATAGGGAAATACCCTAGCAAGCAGCTGAGAAGGGAGGCTGCAGAGCATACTAGGCAGTCCTTGATGATGGAGGTTAGTCTTCACAATCCTGCTAACTTGCTAACTAGAAGTTTTGTAGGTCCATGTTGATAAGAGCGTGGATGCGCCAGACACCCAAGCGGAGACCTTGGAGAGTCAGTGCTTTGCCATAATTGGATCAGATATGGCTCGATGGCAAAAAGTATTATGTACAACCAAAAAGGCAGAATGTGTGTGTCATGGGCAGCTCGAAGAGTCCATGACTTGTACTATGGGCGGCTTGGAAGGCCCATGATCCATTGGTGGTATAAAAGCCCAATTTCCTTGGAACAGACTACCTTTGGGTAGTTCTATAGTCTACCTCATGATGTTAAGAGTAGAACCGTTATATTGGGCATATTATCCACGAACATCCCTTTCCTATTAAATGTGGTTAATTATGTCTCAACGTACTTTTTTTTTTTTTTTCAGTTGAAATTATTCCTTTTTTATTGCAACAAGCATAGAGTCGATGCGAACTGAGCATTTCAAAATCTTTTGCTCGTTTCCTAGTAGAGCAATCCCACGCATACTTTCCCTGAACAAATTCAGTAGCAAGCATGCTTCATATCTTGTGTATATTGTTGAGTTTATCTCATATCGGAAATGTAAAGCTTGCTATGTATTTTTTTATTTTTTATTTATAAGAAGTGAGAGTAATTTCATTAATAAGAACCAAATATTACAGGCATCAATAAGAATATTTTTTATAGTGATCAATTTCTTAATCTAAAGAGAAATTTGCACAAGCAAAAAAAATAAAATAAAAAAAAACTACCATATGACCACCACAAGAATGAAGAGTCATTCATACAAATTTATCACAAAGACAACATACGTGATAGACTCGACGTCGACAAACTTAAAATCATCACAGAAAGGGTGGCCACATCTCGCCAAAGCCGTAGACATCACAAACCCGGTAGGGAGGTACCAAATTGGCCTCTCTGCCAATTAGTCTTGAATTTTATGTTTAAGTTCTGTTTTTTTGTGATGTAACAATCCATGTCATTGATGAGAGTTGTCCCACATTGGGAAATGAAGCTTACATTATTTGTTTAAACAATCTTACACCCTTCTCCTAATGTTATATGAATTTGGGTTGGATAATCACATCCGATATATCAGAGTAGGCTATATGATATCACATTTATTTATAAGAAACACTAATAAAAAGGATTTCAAAATTTTGAATCATAACCAAAAACACTTTAATGACTTTATTTATGGTTAGAATAAAACTTAATATCAAACCATCTCAATCTTAGATTCTTCATAAGTCTCTCATACCGTAATAAAACCAAATAAAATCAGAGGCTACGAGTTCGTATTGACACCCCTTTTTCTTCTATACAAGACCCACATGTTGAAACTAGTGTACAGGGAGATTGAGCTTTCCAAAGGTGACTTTTTTTTGGAAATTTTTGCTAATTTTTTGACAGAACTTGACAAAATTGGTCCTTGATCCAAGACAGAAGTTTAATCCTCCTCATGAGCTTCCTTTCCATGTAAGTGCTTCCTCAAAATTGACACTTCCATATTTGGTTCTAAACATAGTGGCAATACAAAGTTTAGTTTTGGAAATAGTGTCAATGCTTTATTCACGAAATAATGACAGTGTTCAATTCTAGAAATAGTTGCAGTGTTTAGTCCTATAAATAATTGCAAAGGTAGTGTTTGGTTTAGAGTCTTCATTCCTTACTACTATAAATAAGGCATAATGAGGTGAGATAATTAACTTCTCAAAGTTCACCAAATCTCTCTCCATTCCTTGTTGCACCTCTCTCTCCCTTGTTATAATTTTTCAGTTAAAGTAGGCATACAACATTACCAAGTTGAGTGAAAAGTCGAAACCATGTACTTAAAATTAGGAAGAGCATTTTGACAACCAGACCTTTGGTCTTGGTAAATGGCCAACCTACTTGGATATTTGACAAAAGTGGACCGACTGAGTGGTGATTATTGACCAATGAAGTCATTGTCTTGCCAGAATTTGTTATTAAGTCACAATTTTAGGAATCTTTTAGACTAATAATACTACGTCCTTTAATAACAGAATATAGTTGTTTAGTCTATAACTAGTTGCCCGAGTCATTAAAAAATGGCTTAGAAGAAACAGATTCATCGCTACGTAATGTTCTAATTCAATACTACGTTACCATGCATAAATTTTTTCTCAACATAACACGGTGATGAATTCAAAACAAAAACGTCAAAATGACAATAAACTCAAAACCTAAACATCATATATAAAATAAACCCTTTTCATGTAAGTAGCCCTTTCATCAAGAGCACAAGACCCCGGTAAAACCGCGTCGCAAGGGGAGTCCTAGTTGTGCACCATGTGACCGATCTCATCACTTGCTCCTTTTGCAGTAAAGTCTTCCCCACTCAACTCCTTCCTACTCTGCTTCACTTCCCTCTATGTTCAACAACCTATATATAATTCGTCACACTGTCTATCGTCTCTCACACTCTCTCTTCTGTCTCTGTATGTATATATAAAAATCTAGTGTTTCTAACTGTAGACCCAGTCCAAGCTTTTAGGTGGAACGAGGTATTCAGAGGGGAAGGGGAAAGGGAAGCCCCTCATCGGTTGCAGAAATGGCTCCACTCATGTACTTGAGTCTCGGAAAGGTACTCCTGCTTTCCTCTGCTGTTTTCTTCCTCTTTCCTACTCTCCTCCTTTCTGCCCGCTCCGAGTCAGTTGAGACCTCGCAGTTTGTTGCGAGTACAAGGAAGATCTTGTTAGAATTAGAAATCGACCCAGACCAAGACCTGCCCAAAAAGATCAAGTCCACCACCACCACCACCCAATCCTCCAAAAACCAGACCAAATTGATCAAACCAACCGTGTCATCCTCAAAAAACAAGACCAAATTGATCAAACCAACCTCGTCATCCTCAAAAAACCAGACCAAATTGATCAAACCAACCCTGTCATCCTCAAAAAACCAGACCAAACTCCTCAAACCCAGTCTATCCTCCTCCAAGAACCAAACCAACCTCCTCAAACCCAATCTATCCTCCTCCAAGAACCAAACCAAGATTTTGAAATCCACCAAGAATGGCGAGTTGAAGAAGCTCAAACCCACATCAAAACCCTCAAATTCCACCACACCCACATCAAATTCCTCGAAGAAAACCTCAGATCTAACTAAAATAAGCTTACCCAAGAACCAAACCACCAAACCCACCACCCCGAAACAATCCCAAAACCTCGTCGACAAGAAAAAAACCACCGACGCTAAAAAACCCGCCCAACAGAAACCCAAAAAACCAGTCGAACCCAGCTGGATCGACCAAGAAGACGACACCGATTTCGTCTCCGACTTCACCGACTTACCCGGCAAATTCCAGCAAACCCTAATCCCAGATTTGGAGAGAATTCGGACCACCTCGAAGATTTACATCACCAAAGCCAACAAACAAATGACGAACCAGTTCAAGCCCGTTGTCGGTAAGAAGTACGCCGCCACCATCGCCTCCACCGTGTCGTGCGTCTTCCTGATTATCCCTCTGCTGTTAGTCTCTCTCCTCTTCAACCGCATCAAAGCCTACTTCTCTCTCCAAAAGCTCTTGATCTTCATTCAAGTCTACCTCTCCATCTACTTCTCCATCCTCTGCCTCTCAGCTCTCGTCACCGGCCTTGAACCTCTCAAGTTTTTCTACGCCACTTCGGACTCCACCTACGTCTGCCTGCAGGTGCTGCAGACGCTCGGCTACGTTCTGTACCTCCTGCTGCTGCTCATGTACTTGATTCTGGTTTTCTCGACCGATTCCGGGTTGGGCTCGAAGGTGTTGGGCTTAGCCCAGACCTTCGTCGGCTTCTCCGTTGGGCTCCATTACTACATGTCGGTGTTTCACAGAGCTGTGCTGAGGCAGCCGCCCAAGACCAACTGGAAGGTGCATGGACTTTACGCCACGTGTTTCCTTGTGATTTGTCTGTTTGCCACCGCCGACAGGAGGAAGAAGGCTTACTTGGAAGAGGGCGGTGAAGAGAACAAGAAAAGTTAATATTTTTGGTGCTGATTAAAAATCTGTGGGGTCCAAAATGGTTAAAACAACCAATCAAATTCTTGGTAAACCAAATCAAAATAATAAACCAGTTAAATTGGTTTAAGATCTTGTAGTTTGTAACTTTTGTAATTTTATTTTATTTTGTTTTTAGATTTGCTCGTAGTTAGGGAGAATTTATTATTTATTTAAACAGAATCTCAAGTGGCATGGAATGATAGAATATGCAAGGAGGATAAATTGTTATATATTTGTTGTATTGCTGTGTTTTAATCTGTATCTAATTCATGCATGTATTAAAATTATTCTTAAGGTCACTTACTACTCTGATTAAGCAGTGTTTTCTTTCGCTTGTAATTAAGAGGTTTTACATAGAATGAATAAATACTAAATTGTTGTAACTAAGTTATTGTGACTTGGTTTTAATTTCACTTGTTAATTTTTCCAAATCTGTCACTTGGTATAAATAATACTAGTATATGCCTCCACATTTTATGTGTATGAACATTTTTTTATTTTTATTTTTCAATTGGGAAGAGAGGTGGAGAGAGAGAACGTGGGAGTGGGAGTGGGAGTGGGAGTGGGAGACTTTTATTTTCATTTATAGAATAGATATATGTTAAAGTCGCCTATAAATGAGGCTTAAATAAAAAACAAAAGAACTTAGTTTTGTGAAATTATATTACTGTACATAATTTTGTTGGTTTTTTTTTTTGTGCAAAGAAAAAATTCATAAAAGCATGAAATTCATTGAAGCAAGAAATTCCTTGGAGTCCATAATTTTATTTTTGTGATAAAAGATTAAATACTAATGTCACCGTCTTTTAATTGATAAAGAGAATTTTGTTAATAAATAATTTAAATTATTATATACAAACAATAAAAATTACAAAGTAAACTAGATGCATGTCCACATAAACAACCCTATAAAATAATTACTAACCAAATATTTTATGTAGTCAATTTTCTGAATCAATGTGAGAGGCAATAAAATAAAATAAGGAGTGTAAACGGCAGGAGCAGAGGTGGATGTTACAGCACCGACTTAAGGAGGGTGTGTCGGTGGCTGCATGGCCTAATAATCTACAACCGACATTTTTGCTGCATTCATCTCTTAAATACTTAGAGTCTCCGTTTTATCCCTTTCGGGCCCGTTTGTTAGACCTCTTTTAGGAGGGACAAGACTAGCTGAGACTATAGTTCCGTGTTTGAAGTGACAAAGTATTAACTTAAATGAGAATTGTCTCGACTAGCAGTCCCTCCGCACCTCATTAAAGGGTGTTATCTAATCCCGAGTAGAACCTTGGTATTAAGTGGTACTAACAAGAAACGATCTTCACTTCGTCTTCTCTACTTTCTCCTACTTTCTGCACGGTTTAAGCATCAGAGTTGCTGTTCTCTACTCAAATTACTAATTTATTTGCATCGTCGACAATACCAACTAACTTGTTCCGAAAATCAACTTTCTTAATAACTTTAACGACCTTGCTTGTGTCGTCTACAGAGTTTGGTGGCATCTTCTTTCCGCTCTTCCTCGCATATCATATGCGAAACTTTTTAATTTCTGGGTCAATTCAATTTGCATAGCTTTTCAATTTGAGAGTTGTCGATTCAACTTTAATTCTTGAGCCCGCATGTAGAAATATCGGCATGTTAGTGGAGGTCCTGGCGAAGCTACCATAGTTGGAGTCACCTTCTAGAAGCGAATGAAGATGTTGGCTTTTTGAAAATCGGAGAAGTTCTTAGGAGGCTTAGGTCTTGGAATTGAGAGGGCTGAGATTTTTTTTATTTGTTTTGGGGATTTTGTAAATCGGAGGACTTAGACCTCCAAACCACAGACTGAACCTATCTCCTAGTGCTTAATCGAAGAAGAAAATTAAGAGATTGATGCAAGATTTGTGGCTAGAAATTTCAATTCAACATAGAGAAAATCATGGACAAGAGAAACGAGGTAGATTAAAAAAGGAAAAGGGAATGAAAATGTGGTTCCAATCTAGTCAACTCTAGACTTCGATGGTATTGCCCCCTTTATTTTTAATTTTTATTTAATTTTTAAGGCAAAAGTGAACTAAAAATGGCAAAAAAAAATATAGTCCATAATTTAGTCCGACACTGTACCAAACATTTCACTAAGTCAGTCCATCTTAGTCTAGTCTAAGCCAATCCAACTTAGTCCTTGAAGTTAATCCAGTCCGAAATAGTTTGGTACAACAAATGCACCCTTCAAGGTTTGAGTTGATTGAAGATTTGATAGAGACTTTGGAGTAATAACACATTATTGGTGACTGCCAAGTTGCCAACTACTATGGTCTATGCCCTACCAAATAATAACATGAACTTGTTTGCTACCTTTGATGGCGTTGCAAAAATGGCTACCTTCAATCGTAGGTGTTTACGCATGAAAGTTAAATCGTGTGGTGTCGTGATATATTTTTTTTGGGATGCTGTTTCAAGTTATAGGTGTTGACTTTAAAAAAAATTAAACAAGCTAGGTGGCACACATGTCGAGTAACTTCATAAGTTAACTACATTATCTGGTGGTTTATTGCTAATGCGAGAATGCCAATTTGTTACTGAGCTTGGAAAGGCAAATACATCTAGGAGTAATGGTGTGATGAAATGTTCTTTGGACTTTTGAATCAGGTGACCTTGCTCGAGGAAGGAACACTCTCGGTTTGGGTTCTAAAACTTGAAGACAAGTTATACAGATCACTATAAAGTTCTGGATCATCTACACCAGGTTCAATAGCCTCACCTATATTGGTGAAAATATCATTACGCCAACTTGGTATCAGGCTATATGGACACATATACTAAAAGAGATGAATGTATTTGTGGGGAAATTGATTTGTCCATCTAAATGTCGAACTATGAATGTCACTTCGGAATATCTATCATAGAACACTTCACTTTGCCTAGACAATTAATGAATTGACCTCGTTTGACAAAAGAACCAAGGATTCTTCGCCTTGTTTAACCAAACTATCAAGACTCCTAAACCAAGCTAATTCTACAACTCTGGTGTTGTTTAACCAAATTGTCACCTTTGCTGGTTGCCTATGGAAAACTTTGTTTAACCAAACTGTAATAGCCCCTCGGCTATCAACCCAGATTTGTTTAACCAAATTGTATTTGCGTTGACAATTAGTAGAGCAGTTAATATTTTACTCAAAGGTGTGAGAGGGTTTCGCGTAAAGTGTTGATTTGTGTGTTGAGTTGAAGGTTCTCTCTACGTTTCAAATCCTCTTATATTTGAGGGGATGAAATACTTAACACCCAAGTCTACCAAGTGATAGAATCCTGCATGGATTGCAATTCTTCGGCATGCATCCATTTCCTTTGAAGTTATCTTGATAACTCACACTTCAACCGAAACCTCATTGCCATCGAGTCTCAGCCTCTTTGTCTTGAACTAAGACTCTGAATCTAGTCCCTTTGTGTGATCAATTCATTCTTTATCAAATCAGCCACTAGTTTTTATCCTTAGAATAATTCGATTCGAACTTTATCAAAACCCATCATAATCCTCCAATAGTCTTAGCTCATTCAGGGCTAGTAACTTAATCATGATGTTCATACAATGTTATTTCTTTGACAAAATTAAAAAAATATATATCTAAGAGTATATATACTAGCCACTTCGTACAAGGGTCCAGTGGTATTCCTCTTCACTTGTAAGTGAGAGGTCTTAAGTTCGATTCTTGCCAAAGGCGAATTTGAACCACATTAGTGCTAGCCTATTGTGAGCCTAAGCCCACCCCTTCCCCCTTACTGTAAATGATATCATTTATTCACAAAAAAAAAAAACAATATATATATATATATATATAATAGAATAATGAAGACATTGTTGTAGGCCTAATTTACTGAATTGTATTAAGGTCAGGGAAAGAGTGGGCTGGTGGCATAGAGAGAGAAGAGAGAGAGATATGTATTTGTGAGGTGTGTGTTATATCACCTCATTGTACCTTTATTTATAGTAGTATGGAAGGTGAATTCGTTATTCTAATAGGATTACAACTCTAATAGGATAATATCGAACCCTAGAGAATCTTCTATGATATTCCAAATACTTTAGGATTTACACAATCACATTCCTAATCTAATAGGAGTGCAACATTCCCCCTTGAGTGTGTAAGTACTCAAACAAAACATCGCATTAGGTCTTTAGCAAATGAAGTCAATCAGTTGATGAAGTCGTCAGCATAACAGGTGAATGCAAGTCTCAAATTAAAGAAAGCATGCATTGGAAGTAAAACTCACAAAACCTCACTATGGTTAAACCTAAGATAGGTACAAACCTCATAAACTAAGGAAAAAAGTGAGACGTATGCATAATGTCTAAAACAAACGTCATACGGGGCGAAAGTAGTGAACTCAACGGAGTATAATCATCTCAGGATGAGTGCCTCATTAAAATCTCGTTAGGTAGCAAAACCTAGTGGGAAAAATTATCCAAATCATAGGAAAGAAGTACATTAAGATCAAGTGAGTATGCTTCGAGATACTTCTCTTGAGCTAGACATAACTTCCAAATAAGAGAACTACAAGCAATTCAATTAAGATAATTTACGCATACCGATTCCTTGGACGAGCTTCTAAAAAGTAGACTTGGGCAATGACTTGGTGAAGAGATCGGCCAGGTTTTCATGGGAACATATTTGCTGGACTTCAATGTTCTGATGCTGTTGTTGTTGGTGAGAGTAACAGAACTTCAGCGCAATGTGCTTGGTGTTGTATCCCTTGATATATCCATTCTTTAGCTGTTTGATAGATGTTGCATTGTCTTCAAGGTCGTCGTAGAAAGGTGAATGATGGTAGTAAGATCACTAGAGCTTCGAATGTGTTTCATGGCTGCTCTCAACCAAAAGTATTCACGCAAGGCTTCATGCAATGTGAGAATCTCAGCATGGTTCGAAGAAGTCACAACTAGCATTTACTTGGTAGACCTCCAAGATATTGCAGTGTCTCCAACGGTAAAGACATATCCCATTTGAGAACATACCCTATGTAGGTCAGATAGATGACCAGTATTTGCGTAACCAACGAGGCGAATTAACCCAAGGACCGATGGGACGACGACTTCTCTCGAGGATTCGTGGGTGTAGAACTAGACCTGACATTCATGTCGTGTTTCTTGTGTTCATGTCGTTTTCGTGTCATACCCGACATCTTAATGGGTCGTGTCATGTAACACCCGTTAAAATAAACGGGTAACATGACCCAATAATATTAACAGGTAATATAACCCGACCCGTTACCCGTTAAGGAAAATATACTTTAAACCAATAAGTAATCAAATGAAAACATAATACTAAATAAGTATATACATACCATATTATCACATTCAAAACATAAAAACGCATTTGTCTTTCAAGTATTACATATTTACATACCCAAAATAAGAGCATAATAAATAAAATAAAATAAAAACATTAGAACATTACTAAATATTAAATGTTCAAAAGATTTGCAAAATTAAGGGAGTTATGTTTCAAGGTTTGGAACCTTGCACATTTTCTTACAATCAAACTCTTCAATTTTCATCAATCAACATGGGAAATGGTATTGGAATTTTGGCTTGATATATTATCTTCAAGAGTTATATTGATGATATTTTTAGTGAGGCTTTCTAAATTAGCACTCTCTTCTCATTTATCTTATGGCTATTATTTAAGTAAAGTCGTTAATAGTTTTTTAATTAATGTAGAAGTGTGAAAAATATAGAAAAAATATATAAACGTTCGTAATGACAAACTTTATAACTTTTGTGAAGGGCATAACTTTGAAATGTGCCACTATAATCATATAAATCATAGATTAAAATTTAGCCGTCGATTATTGTTTACATTTATCCTTCATTTTTCTCACCAAGTTTTGTTTTTTGCAAACATGATCTATTAGAGGATACAGGAAGATGAACTATTCGGATCGTTGATATTATGTTCAAAGTTTTACCATTAGTGAAAATATTGCTTGGTGTTTATAAAGTCTCTACAAACTATATAACATCGACTCATATTTCAATTAACTGTAAATATCAGGACGTGATATCAAAGATCCGAACCGTCCATCTTCCTACATATGACGACCTGTCCCGAATTATAATATATTTTATCCTTGAGTGTGGGCCTTGTGACATGGATGTATGTATATAGTCCTTAATCATTTTTCCATCAACGTGAGTAAGTGGTATTCGACGTTATGAGAACGTGGATGCAAATTAGGGTCGAGTCGTGTACGTAGTGGAGATGTTATAAAGGAATAAAGGAATTGGGTTAGGTTTAATTGCATGAATCCAAAGCATGTAGATCAATTAGGGTTTGAGGCCATTTTAATATGGCCAACTCGTGGCCACACACACACACGCACATGCAACTTGCATCCTCTCTCTCTTTCTCGAATTTTCTTCCCCGTCCGTGCAACCGAGAGCATTCACCCTCAAACTAAACCAAAACTCTACAGATCGAACTTGGTGTTTCCAGATTCTTACTCTTCTCGAACCCTAGAACACGGTGATACCTTTTGTTAAGTGGTTTGACTTCGAAAACCCGAGACTCCATAAGCTCCGGCAAGGGGTGTAATTTTCTTTGATATGATCACAAAGGTTTTAGCTAGTTTTGGGACTTAATAAGGTATTATTCTTGCTCCACTAGCACTTTGGAACAATTTTAGAGCAGTTTTGACGTTGGGACACTCGGGTTTATTAAGTTGCAGATTTGGCCGGACTATCAAAGAATTTTCTAACCATATACCGTGTGTTTTAAGACTTTAAACAGGTAAGAACATGTTTTACTTGTTTAGAGCTTCATTTTGGTATAATTTTCATGAAATTTGGTTGAAAAACAAAGAAGATATTAAGGTTTAAGAGTTTTCCAGTTTTCGGCGACTCAGACGGCGGCCGGTAATGGAATCCGACGAACCATTGGAGAAGACAGAGCATATTTCGTCAATTTTGACGGAATATTCTTAACGGCGTCAGGTATATTTAACAGAATATCTTATTATTTAACGGCATATTCCCTAACAGCGTTAGGGTTATTGTTAGTGTACCAGGCACATGACCGCAAGTGATTGGCGCGTATGGCTGTGCCTTGGCCGGTGCGTGGAATGTTGGAAAATTATTCTAAAAATATAGGGATGCTCGGGGTGTTGAGTAGGCCATAATAGTATATTCAAACACCCCAATTGAGCAACGTATGAGAAGTTATTTTATAGTGATGGTTAAGTGCTTAAAAATAACATTAAAATAGTTGTTTCACATATAGGTAAGACGTTTCCAGAGGACGAGCGCAGCGAGGCGAGACTTGGGGGTTACGACCCGGCTACATACCGGTGATTGGGCTTTTGGGTTATATATATATATGTGTGTGTGTGTGTGTGTGTGTGTGTCTATGTATGCCTTATGTTTCCCAGAAATTGTTTAAATGGTTTTTACGTTTTAAATGTCATGTCGTATGCATTACATATTAGAATATGCTTTAATATAGCTGTGCATATTACTGCTCGACGCTGTGGATGCTCAGGTAAGCTTCAGGTGAGTATATAGCGATGGTTGTGATGGTAGTGTGTATGATTATGATGAGTTGCTTTCAGTGATTTATATCTTGCACCCTGGTGTTAGTACTTCGTCCGAGGGTAGGGCCTAGCCTTCATGTGATCATTCACCTCCCGCACCATACGCTCACCTTGGATCTAAGGCAGGTGCCAACTTGTTGTATAGACCACATTAGGTGGTTCCCGACTCGTAGATGACTTGTGATACTTCGCACAACCTTCATGTGATTGTAGCACTTGAGCGTACTTATTTACACCTAGCCTATCGTACAGATCACATAGGTGGTTCCGACTCGTGTGCAGGATTTGATTTGATTGTTGAGTTATAGATTCAGCCGTACAGGTCACGTTAGGTGACTCCGGCTGATATGTCACTTTATATTAGTGCAATTCACCTGGCTTACTTATTCATGGTTGAGATGATTGCCATACCATACACTTGGTTTGGTTATATCATTCAATTATGCCTTTATTTATAGTAGTAGGGAAGGAGAATTCCTTACCCTAATAGAATTACAACTCTAATAGGATAATATATAACCATAGATAATCTTCTAGGATATCCCAAATACTTTAGGATTGCAACAGAAATAATAAAATTGTTTGTTTTTTAGAACGTCCCTTATTTTAGAAGTTCCCATGTATGCAAAGTGAAAGTCAAAGTGGTCTGCTTGATTCTTCTTAGTGTTTGCTAGATCCAGTCTTAAAACTTGATTTGGGTGACATTTACCTTTTTCAGATATATGTTTGTTTTCTTTTTTTGAATTTGGTAGTATTGCTCGCAATTCCACTTGTGGTCCTTGTAGTTTGAGTAGTCCTCCAATTTCATCCTTATTAGTAAATTCATGATACAAGGTTTAAGCCTTGGAGGAAATTGACATCCTATCATGTGGCCTAATTTCTTGTAGAAAATTTCGACCCTACAGTTTGTACCATTGCGTCCGGCCAGTACTGCAGGAAACTCGAGAAAATGATAAAGAGTGCCAATTGCGGTTTTTAGTTAAGTAGATAAGATGGTATAAGAAAGCAAGACAAACCATAGTTCGACCTACTTCAAAGATTATATTGTATTACACCCTCAGCTTCAGAGAGAAGAACGGATTTCTAACCAGCTAGTTGTTGTTGCATGTACAGAACTAAAATTCAAAAGAACTGGCATTCGATAACTAATTAATAATATGAGGGGTGATGCTAATTTATTCAAAACTTTCATATGGTTAGACATGACATTTGGTATTACTATACTAAGGTTATCCTTTAAGTTGTGGACTTTAGAGAGTAGAATTCTCTCCATTCTATTTCTCTTCCATTCTCTCATCTCGCAATTTCTTTTTTGTTTTTCTCTATAAAGAAGTCAACACACGATATTGACATGACTTAATCGTAACCATCTAAATAAGAAGGAAGGAAAGAGAATGTGATGTAGATTAAGAAGAAAAAGAACCCTACTCTTGACAGTACATTTCACTGTTAAGGTAATACATTATTGTTGAACATTAACTTTTATTAAACTATTGTAGAGGGACAAAAAAAACACTCAAAAAAAAAAAAAAAAAAAAAGAAGAAAGTAAAAGGGCAGGCGTGGTAGATATGGGACCAACGTAACGCCGTTACCCCACAAACCATTGTTACTCTTTCAGTATTTGTCTCTTGAACGTTTGCCGCAATAACAACCGGCAAAAATAGGTTGTCAACCCCACGCGCTTGTGTGTTATGCATGTCACGGCCCAAGGGAAGCCCAGCGCACCACTCCAACCACGCGCGTGGCGGAAGAGCGTAATCTGGGGAAGTGAGCTTGGAATTAAGACGTTTGAAACAGTGCAATCTTCTCGGCTGTCCGAATCGAAACCCCTTAAACAAAGTCGTTTTCGTTTCACAGCGGAACTTCTCCACACACTCTCTCTCTCTATCTCTCTCTCTCTCTCTCTCTCTCTCTCTCTCATTCCCCGGAAGCAGAAGCAGGAATCGAAAGAAAAGCACTTTTCGTTTCTTCTCTCTCTTCCCATTTTTCATTTTCTCCAAAGATTGCTACTTGCTAGTTTTTTAGTGCTAAATCATCTCTACTGAGCAGGGGTTTCCGAGGTATTTACCTGTTTATTTCTTCCATTTTTTGTTTTTGCTGCCAAATTAATGTTGTTCTGAATGCGATTTTTGGCGTTTTGAGAGTTTGGATCTCATCGAACAAGTTGAATTGCCTTTTGTTTTTGGATTTTTAGATGTAATTATTTGTAAAACTTGCTGTATCTTTACTGATTGTTTGTGTTGGAATGCTTACTCTGAAGTTGGACTTGGAAATTCCTTTACTTTGATAAAGGGTAGGGTGTTTCGACTGCCGACAAGCGAAGGGTTTAGAGTTTTAAAGTTGATAGTTTAGGATGATTTGGTGGATTACTAGTTTTGAGAGAGGCCTATGAGTCTTAAGGGGGTTTAGATTTAGCAGGTTCAAGACTGAGTATTAGTCCAATATTCAAATACCAGTTTACCAACGTAGAGAAAAAAGTGACGAGGAATTTAAAAGCTGTTAAAGAGTGAAGTGATGGCCTTTTCCATCTCGGGTTAGTGTCCCTTTTTTTGTTTCGGCCAGATATTGTTAGAATACCTTAAAGTTGAAGTGAGAGTCTTATGGCTATGTTTTAGGGTTTTGGATTAACTGTTGGCTGGTTTAAAAATCACTGGTCTGCATTAGTGTATTACCAAGATGCAAATTGAGAAAATTATATAGACTTAGGGCATGTTTACTTTGGAACGAATGGGAGAACTTAGAAATAGGCAAAGTAAGAAACGGGAATCGGATCAACTAGCTCCCCCTCCCCACTCCCCCCTCCCCCCTCCCCCCTCCACCCCTCCTCAAGGTTGATTTAATTCCTGACTTTTAGGTATTTGATTACGGACTTTAGGGAATCTAACACTTTTCCGACTCCTTACGTGTTAATAAATACGGGAAGGTTTACAAGCGAAATGATTTACATACCTATATCTTAGTAAACATAGGAACTTGAGAATCAAAAAGTGATTCCAGTTCTCATTCTTTGTAAGTAAACATGCCCTATATCGGCCTAGGAATTGGCATATTATGGATTTAGGATGTGTGTGGAATTGAAGTGAGATGAACAAAAGTTGTTTGAGATAGTTTGGTCATGTATAACAAAGATCTAAAATGCACCAACATGAAAGAGTGAAACGGGGAAACAAAGAATCAGGTATCTTTTTATGAAATCATGTTTGGTTGATTTGGTTCTTTTTCTATTTGTTCTTGTTCCAACACAATTGATCGACTTCTTAGTTGTTCTGACCCATTTTGAATTTGACTTGGGAGAAAAGGGAGGGAGTAATTTTGGGAGCACATCTAACCTGCTATTTTTTTGGGGGCAAGAACAATATGATCTCAAACTAATTTCTAAAATGTCATAGAAGGCATTGTTTTCTCAAAACCATAGAAGTCATCGTAAGCAATGTGATCTTGGAACCATAGTTGCCAGATTCGGTGAAATCCCGTCCAAATTCCGTACCCGTACGGACGTACCAGTACTTTTTGGATTCGGTGGTGAATTCGGTGGTTCATCTAACCATCTCCAATAATTTCTAATCAGATTACAGAAAAGCTGTAATTTTTGGGAAGAGAGGATGGAAACAACTGGAATTTTGGGAAGCTCTGTGCGTCTGGTTTTTGTCAGGTGGAGGGAAGACGATGAGGGAGAGGAAGAGAGATAAAATATTAAGTTTAATTGTAGTTTTTAATATTTTTATTGTGTTAGTTGAGGGTCCTATCTGGAGTATTGATTTTTCAGAGAAGAAGTAAAGAGTCGGAGGCCGATAGCATTTCCCAAGTTCCATATTGATGTAATATTTATATTATTCTGACTAGACAATTAAGTGAATTAATTGTTTTTTATTTGTAAACAAATAATTGCTTACAAATAATGAATTTAAACAAAAATAATTGTTTATAATAACTATAAATATTATTGTAAAATGTATATTATAAATATTTTTAATTTATATTTTTAACGAATTCAGAACAAATCGAACTGAATATCGCACTATCTATGTGTACCCTCTGACGAATGGTACTTTAGGTTACTACCGAATTCCGTACCCGAATCGAACCACGAACTCGAACCGAACCCGTATCTGGCAACTATGCTTGGAACTAAAGAGGACGATTCTAGAAAGAAATTAGGTGGAATAAAATTTGTATATTAAATTCTTTGATTGGGATATTATTGGATACATATAACTTAAGTATTTTCTTGTTTTAGTGAAATCCACTTCTAGGTCTTTTTTTTATACTCAGAATCAATTATTTTCAGTTTAAAGATTTTAAACCTGTGGACCTTGTGCTGAACTATTAGTTAAGGATCGAGTGGTTACTTGCTGCTGCAGTATTTCTTTTATGTTATTATTTTTTTTTCCTGATAAATGCCAAGCTAACATGTTAATAAATTGTCTATTGGTCTTGCTATTTGATTCAGCCAAGAGATGAAGAGGTGACCCGCCCTGCTTTGTATAATATTAAGTTGTAATCTGAACATGGATAAAGTGTCTTCTGACTGTCCATACCCAGGATGCTTCTTTTGTGTCATGAAGGAAGGGAACCCAAGTAAGCGAAGAGCCAGCATCCTGAAGTTCTTTAGAGAGCTTCCTTCACAGGATGACGATGGCCAGGTTCTACCTATCAGTGGCCTTTGGAACACTGCCATGGCACATCCGAATGACCCTGAGTTCATTGAGCTTGGTATCTTTGAATGTATGGCTGCATTGATATGGAAGGGTCTAAAGAATCGTCGCTGGCTTTCTCATGACCAGAATATATACATTCCTTATTATGCTGCTCATATTATTGGATCATACACTATGAACATGGAAGAATTTGCAGCAAGTGCTGTTCATGCTGGGGTAATCCCTCCCTTAGTTGAACTTTTGAGAGGAAGGTTAACATGGGTTGAACAGAGAGTGGCAGTTCGAGCTTTAGGGCACTTGGCTACCTATGCCAGCACTTTTCCTGCCGTAGCAAGTCATGGTGAAATTCTTGAGCTTTCGATTCAACTAGCAATGAGCTCACTAGAAATAGTCTATTCTCATTTTTACCAGTATGTTGACAGAAGGTTAAGCTATCACTGTGATCTGCTCACCCGCGGCATGGGAGGTGTTGAAATGGAGTCCAGAAAGGCAGAAGAGTGGGCTAGTCAGTTGCAATGCTGGTCCCTCCAGCTCATTAACTGCTTTGCCTTTAAACCTGAGTTTCTTCCTACGATATGCAAACCTGAATTCTTAATGAAACTACCTGGCATGTGGGGTGGACTTGTTAATGAAAACTCACCAGCTGGTATTGGTTTATTAAGGACAGTTTGCCATCATAAGCTGGGTAGAGGACCAGTTGCTGGCTGTCCCAGTATTATCGAATCATTGTGTAATATTTCTCGGTCATCAGATGATTGGCAGTATATGACTATTGATTGCCTTCTTTGGTTACTCCAAGACCCGAGTACATGTCATAAGGTATTTTCCTCATTAGCAATTTTTCATCTGGTCCTGGATGGTGGATATTAGCCTGTTTCGTTTAGTTTTCTTATTACATGTTAAAGTTACGATCACTAGTATTCCACAAAGGATGTTTATGGAAACTTGAACTTCTCTGCCTTATATTCATTACCATTATCCAGTGACTCAATTTATTTGTCACAGCAAGTGGTTTTTTTATGTTTCCTGAATGAATGTTTTAATGCCTCGTACATATTAACAACTGTTTGGATCAGAAATTTTGAACCTCTGCATGTGAGTTAAAGTATTTTGATGAAGATACGTTCTAAGAGTTGTCCTCCTAATCTAACAATTATGAATGAAAAATACTGTATTACTTTTTGTATGCACAATTTCAGACTACCGCACTTCATAAGTTAACCCATCTGTTTTGGTATATATGGAATGAGATGTTAGATTATAAATTATAACATTATTAATGCCATTATATAGGTGGTTGATAAGGCTGTACCTGCACTTGTTGACCTTGCGGAGATTACAACTCTGGGTGATCACAAGAAGCTAGGAGATTCCATTGTTAATGTTCTTGAGGAATGTGTCCAGTCACAAGGGACAGGAAGAAACTCTTTTAGTAACCGAACGAAAGAATTGATAGAGGAACTGTTGAGTTCCAGACAGAGATTGAAATGGGAAAAGAATATGCCTAAAGAGGATCTCCATATTAAACAGGCTGCAGCGCTAGTGGTCAAGCTTGAAGGAAATTCCCTATTCTCATCAGGAAATATATCTGGTGCCGCATCTAAATACTCAGAAGCTCTGGCATTGTGTCCAATGAGATCCAAAAAGGAGAGAGTTGTTCTGTACAGTAACCGAGCTCAGTGTCATCTTCTGTTGCAGCAGCCCTTGGCAGCTATTAGCGATGCTACTCGTGCACTTTGTCTTCACAACCCACTGAACCGTCATGCCAAAAGTCTTTGGAGAAGAGCGCAGGCTTATGACATGCTTGGCTTTGCAAAAGAGAGTTTGCTAGATGCCATTCTGTTCATAAACGAATGCTCTCAGTCAAATGATCCTGATCTCTCATTAAGGCAAAATAAGGTTCCAGATTATGCTGAACGATTGGTTAAAAAGCAGATGCGTGCAGCGTGGTTATTTAGAGAGGCAGCTATTAAACATGGGGGCGTCCATTGTGAGGGTGATGCTGGTGATATCTATGGCCGAGAGACTGATGATTCCGAATGGGAGACGGCAAGTGAGAGCGATATAGGAAATGATGGAAGAGATGAAATGGGAAATGATGATGACGACGACGACAATGATAGTGAATGGAAGAATGATGATGAGAGGAAAGAGAAATATGATAAATCTTCAATTAAAGGTACCATTTAACATATTCATTCCCGGCACGTTTATTGTTCTTACATTTGAAACACTTAAATTGTTTTTGTATGGTGTTGCTGGAAAATAAGCAAGTCAGAGTTAATATTACACCACGAAACACCTTTATGTCATTACTTCCTTTCCTTCATTGTCCCTGATTTTGCTAAGATATGAGTTATATTCTTGCTTCATCCTTCCCAGTGTCTGGCACATCTTTTCATGTGTCTTCCTTTAGCCATAAAGTGACTGTTGTATGGCTAATGTGATTGACCCACTTGAATTGTTATTCTATGTGTGTGTGTGTGTGTGTGCTCGTGTGTATTGAGTTTAAGTATGAACATTCAGATCCAACTCGTATGTCACAATTTATTTTACCATGAAGCCCCTCTTTTAAAACCAAGAAGAAAAAAAAAAACACACATATGGTACACCCAAAGTTGGTCTGTATACCTGATTTTACATGGTTTTCTCTTTCTCTTATTCTCTCGTGTCCCAATCTCTCTTGCTGATCCTGTGAAATAATAGCCAGGTCGTCTTTCTTTTCTGTTGCCCCTCTCTACTTTTAGGCCATGTGGGAACCACATAATATTTGAAAAAGTAAAAACATGAGTGAACGAAAATTAAAATAATAGGGAGTGAAGAAATGTTCGATTTTAAATTATGACCTCTAACTGGCTCTCAATTATGAGGCATGCTACAGTAAGAGCTTTAAAAGTTGTGTGGACGGGCGTTGTTAATCTTAGAACTAGTTCTCTCACTTGTATTTTCAAAATGAGTCAGAATTTTGAACCTCAATGTTCAAGCTTTAAGAATAATAAATTGATTGGCCCGATGTTTACCATCTGATCTACTGATTGATTCATTTTGCATACTCTTCCAAAAATTGACGACGAATATCTTGTAACCTTGTTTGTAGGTGAAAGGGAACTGCCCAGAATGTCAAAGTTCACTGTGAAATAGATTTATTTATTTTTCTTTTTTTTACACATCTTTCTAAGACTTCATAGATATTTGATAAAGTTTAATCTTTGATATTATATTGTTATAGAATTTAATACCATTACATATCAATAGTTGTAAACTTATCCAATTCATATCGGCCCACATGGTGAATACAAAACAAAGTTTCCAGGCTCCACCCCTGCTTGGTGGTAAGCTTCTTCCTGACTTGTTGCCAACCCTCTTAATCAACAATCATATTCTTGTGCAGTTGGTACATCCATAATATAAGGCTACCCAAGTTCATCTTATGTCTTACAGACTTCTGATATGTAATCATCAAAAGTGGGATCCCAAAATTGCCATACTGCATGACCATAATCTGACTTATTCTTATGTTCTAATTAGAAGAAACTTTGTATTATAAATTTATAAAATAATCATCACTTGTGGAAATACCATGCATATATAGCAATGATATAGATTATGACTTGCTGCATGCTCTAACTTCTGACATATTAGAGTAGGTTTGATGTAGATTACATTGTTTGTTTGCGCGCAGTTTTCTCTGTATACTAGTAGTTTTTTATTCGGGGCCAGACAAACTTAAAACTTTTCATTTAGAATTTTATCTCATATAAAGTTGTTTTACATCGATTAAATTTATGTTTGGCTGCATGTTCACATTTTTCTCTGTTAATTGGCCCATTAAGTGGCCAAGCTTAAACCTGTAACTTAGTATTTTATGATGTTAAGGCGTTCACCTAGCAGTCATATAGAGCTACCTGTTCATGATGTTATTGAGGTTTTTCAACTTTGAAGTTGTTGCCATCTTATCTTGATTGCCTGTCGTCTCTAGCATGTATTCTCTCCCGTCAACCTTTTGTCTTTTCTTTCTTAAGTTTTAACCAAGTGTACCAATGTTCGACCCAATCCTTGCATTTTAGCGAGGAAACATTAGATCATTGAACATCTAAACATTCCACATTGGAACCTTGATTTGTTACAGACCTAAAGCATGGATACAATGTGCAGCTTGCGGACGATGAGCCATGAATTTGGATGCAGTGCTGCGGACAATGAGCCATGAATTTGGATGCAGTGACCACCGTTCATACCAGAGCACGATGCAAGGACAATGACATAATGGAGCCATAAATGATGCTTTGATCCAAGTGATTTTATTTTCAGCACCCCTAGCCTTCCAAAAATTTCAACCGTAATTTTCGTGAGGGATTTGTCTTGCAACAATGTTGAAGGAAACATGTTTTGGTCAATTTGTGTCAAATATTTAAGGTTGTTTATGTGTTTATTTTATTGTTACTCTCAAATTTTATAGTAAAATTTGTAATTGTAGAAAATATGCTATTTTTGAGTCTAGAAAGGAGGTGAGATTAGCAAATGTGGATCTTTGAGTGATTTAAGAGGTTTTTGTATATACAACTTTTGGGGGGTTTTTGTATTGACTTTGAATGGCAATTGTGGTTTTCTTGTGCTCTCGTTATCCTATCTCTACTGTTATAAGGCCAGGCACTGGGTTTGGTGAAACAACGTGACAACGAATGAGAGGTTGTCTGATCGGTATTACGTACTTATGGCTCATGCAAATTAAAGAAATATTATGAAGATGTTAGGGTTTTCTTAAGAGCTTTATTTAGGGAAAGTTGTGATTTTAAATTTTGCGTTTGTTTTCTGTCAATAGGAGCCCCTTCCGATGCTCATGAGTTTTATTTTCCTTCAAAAGTGCTCACCAAGTGTGTTGATGAAATGCCTAACTGGGCCAGCTTGCTGTGCTGTGCGCTTTGTGCATATTAAAATGGCTAAGAGTTGGTAGGTGGCTCGGTGTCCGTGTCAAATTCCATTCACCCTATTTGTTTTATCCCGGAAATTGTTTGACAATCACTCTAATTGTGTTTGGTTTTGGTAAAGACATTTTGTTGACCTAAGATTACAAAACCTACTTGGCGCATAGGCTGAGTAATTTAATGAGCTAATTACGTCATTCGGTGGTTGATTGCTAATGCAGGCGTGCCAACTCACTATTGAACTCGGTGGGGCGAATACTTAAATATGGTAGTGGTGTGATGAAATGGTTTGCTGAATCCTGGACGAGCGACTTTGATCAAGAAAGGAATACTCTCAGCCTTGGGTTCTATAACCTGAAGACAAGGTTATGCCTTTTGCTATGAAATTCGATCTTCTGCACCAAGTATGACTGCTTCAACTGTATTTGTGAAAATATAAGTGTGCTGAATCAGCATCAAACTGTAATGGTAATGATACTCAAAAGAGATGAGTGTCTTTATGGTGAAAGTGGTTCGACCGTCAATATTTGGAACTCTGAATGTCACTTGGGAATATCCAATCATGGAACATTACACTTCGCCTAGAAATAAGGGTCGGCATAAAAATTGCCGTACCGGAAAATCGAATCGACTTGTGATAAAAAAGCAAAAATTGCAAAAAATCCGCATTGACCAAAAAAGTCAAAATCGGAACAAAAATAAAATCGAACTGTCTCAAACCGATTTCGGTTTTGGTTCAAATGTACTAAGAAACGGAGGAATCAGACCGAACCCTTTTTAATATAAATTATTGTTTTATTGTTATTTTCTATATAAATAAGCCATTTTTCCAAGAAGGCTGTGTGCATAAGCCTAATATTTTTCTTCACTTCTCTTCCCCTCTATTGTTTTATCACTTCTCTCCCCTTACTTAATTTTTCTTCATTCTTTTCCAATATATTATGCATTATGTACACCTCAGTTTTAGTTTAGAATGTACACTTTGGTCTTGATATGAATCTTTCTATCTTTTAATTTATATTTATATGTACACTTTTTTGTCTTCTGGTCACAATCTTGTAGATCTAGTATTGGAAACTCAAATCTACTTAAATTTGTAGTTGAAATATGTGTTTGGTATTGGAAGTAAAATATTAAATACACACACACACACACACACACACACACATTTTGGTTAGAATTGTAAACCGGCATGAACCGAGCCGAAACCCGTGTGAATTGAACCTTACGGTTTTCATAATAAGTTTAAGTGGAATTGCACCGAACTGAATCGTTGATATATTTTAGTTATGGTTCTAATTTAACGATGGAACCAGGCTGAATTGAACAGTGCTCACCCCAACTTAAAAAGCAAATGAAGTGACCTCATTTAGAAATCCCATATTTCAAGCCCAAAAATTGCCAGCTTGCTTTTGAAATCTTCGGCCATTAGTGCTTGGCCAAAGGATTTTGAAGAAGCGAATGCACTTGAACCACCTTTGCTCACATGTATTCATTACACCGAACCTAAATTTGACGTCATCAAGCTTCCCAATACAAGATTCATTCAATTTGCCACACGTCGAGTTCTTGCAAAGATAAATGTTAAGTCTATGACCTAGTCTAGTTTTGGCTTTCCTTAAACAAACATGTAATCTTTATATTCTTCATTATCATATCAAGCTCAAACTAGGATTAAGAGTGATAAGATGTAAGTAAAGCTGCAATGATGATGAAGACTCAAGCCAGCTTTCTTTATACAAGTTTGGTTCATGCATAGCATAACAAACTGCATTTTTATGTTTCTTGACTAGTGTGTTCTGCCTAGTCAAGTCTGTGTGGAATTTTGTGTGGCACTTACGACCTAATCATTTAGGTTTTGCAGAGTATAAATATTGAACTCTAGCTTTTACTGCATTTATTCCTCTCCACGCAGCTCTTGAAAATCTCAGATGTAGAAAACATTGATGAACCTATCACTTCATTTCTTATAGAGATCATCTGAGAATATCTCAGCCATCTTTAGAACCTAAGGCAAAGATCCTTTCAAAATCTTGTCAATCTGTTGATGTTCGATTGAGGAGATTTGTGTTGTTGTTGGATCTTCATTTGCATGTCATTTAATTTCATTCATCTCATCGGAGACACAAGTGAAAAGCTCGAGCTTGAGCTGCCACCTTTGTGAAGACCAACTATAGATCTCCTTAAAGAATCTCAAGTTGCACGAAGGTATTAGTTGGTTTGTAGTATAACTTCGGATCTGAGCTTGTGTGTGTGTGTGTGATTCATGTATGAACTTGATTTTCTACTAGTGGATGGAGCTCCAAGGAGTTCCCTCGGTTTTATACCTAGTTAGGGGTTTTCTGAGCCCAAATTATCTTGTGTGATTTATACTTATGTTGTTATTAACCGCTGTTGTGATAGGTTATGTAGTAGATCATTTAAATCTGAATGTCTGTGTATGCATCATTGAGTATGCCTGGTAACTTATATCCCTATCATGTGTTCTTTACTTGTCTTACGTCACTAGTCAACCTTGTGACCGTGATATATATGCTTGTCTGGTTGTTGTACATTAGTGTTATCTTGGGGTGGTCCTAAGTAGGAATAGTTATCATAGATAAAAGTTATGTTTAGTCTTTTAATTTCTGTTATCTATTCTTCTCCTTCTAGGAGGCAATATATATAATATAACTTATAATATAAGTAATACTAAAGGAATTATAATCAAACTAGGAAACATAATTATATTCCTAATCTAAATGGGCTCACGCCAGCACTCCCCCTCAAGTTGGTGCATAGATATCTCCTAAGCCCAACTTGTCAAGTGAGTCCTGAAACCTTCTAGCGAAAACTGCGTGGGTTAGAATATCTGCCAACTACTTTTTTGTTCTTACAAACGGAATATCAACCAGCTTAACCTCCAGCTTTTCTTTTATGAAGTGCCTATCCACCTTAACATGCATGGTCCTATCATGTTGTATTGGGTTATTAGCTATCTCCCTCACTGCTTGGTTATCATAGTACAACAACATAGGTTCCTTAGACTTGAACCTTATTTCAGTGAGTAGAATCCGAATCCACAGAAGTGCACAAATACCAAGCGCCATGCCCCTGTATTCTGCCTCCGCTGATGATCTGGCCACTAGATGCTGTTTCTTACTTCTCCAGGTCACAAGATTACTAGCAACAAATGTAAAATAACCGGATGTGGATTGCCTATCAGTAACATTCCTAGCCCATTCTGTATCAGTATACCCTTTCATCGCCATATGTCTATACTTCCTGTACATTAGCCTTTTTCCAGGTGCCCCTTTCAAATAACTGAAAATATGCATTACTGCTGTCATGTGATCCTCGCTAGGTTCATGCATAAACTGACTTACCACACTTACCGCATAAGCACTATTAGGTTGTGTAAGTGACAAATAAATCAAAATTCCAACCAACTTTTGATAGGTCTCTTTTTTTATTGGGACTTGATCTTGATATATTACAAGATGATGATTCTGCACAATCGGAGTATCCGTTGGTTTACACGCCAGCATGTCTGTTTTTGATAACAAATCCAACACATACTCACGTTTAGATAAGTATATGCCTTCTTAGGGCCTAGCAACTTCAATTCCGAGAAAGTATTTAAGTCATTCTAGATCATTCATCTCAAACTCGGAGGACAAATACCCCTGTAGTCGTTCAATCTCCTCTTTATCATCCCTCGTGATAATCATATCATCCACATATACAATGAATAAGGCCACATTGCCATCCTTGCGCTTGATGAAAAAGGTATGATTTGAATTTCCTTATCCATATCCATACTTCTTCATAGCTTGAGTGAATCGCCTGAACTAAGCTCTTGGCGACTGTTTCAACCCATACAATGCCTTCCGAAGTCTACATACTTTTTCCATTCGAGTTCTCAATACCATATCCTGGTGGAAAATCCACATATACTTATTCCTCTAAATCCCCACGGAAAAATGCATTTTTTACATCAAATTGTCTTAATGGCTAATCCAGGTTAGCAGCAAGAGATAACAAAACTCTGATTGTATTCATTTTTGCAATTGGAGCAAATGTTTCTTGATAGTCAACACCAAAGGTTTGTGTATACCCTTTGGTTACTAATCTCGCCTTGTATCTATTGATCGTCCCATTTGCTTTATGTTTGATAGTAAATACCCATTTGCAACCCACGAGTTTCTTTCCTCTAGGGAGGGTAACCACACTCCATGTATTGTTCTTCTATAACGCCTCCATCTCAATTTGCATTGCCTCTATCCATTTTGGATCTTTCAAGGCTTCTTCCACTTCGGTAGGTATTTTAATTTTTTCCATTTGTTGAACGAGTGCCCATTATTTCGGCAAGAGTTGATGAGTGGAGACATAGTTAACAATTGAATATCGCACCTTCCCTTCTGGAGAGTACCTGTCCGGTGGCTTTCCTCGATTTTGTCTATGTGGTAAAACATAAGGTCGTTTAGTAGCTTCTGAGTGAATACTTACCTTGGGAAGGATATCCGTAGGATCATTGACGTGTACCTAAGAAGGTGAAAGTGCGCTGTTTTCGTTGATTGGATCATTGAAGTCGACACTATCATGTTTTCACACCAATTCTTTCTGCCATGCAACTGGCCTTGTCTTGGCCTGATCATTCAGCCCACTTAGGCTTGCTGCACTTTCTTCTGTGTTGCCACCTGTCGTATGATGGTCTGAG